TGTTATTAGTATGGCAAGGAATTATATGATAATTCACTATGTTTCCATATGTAATTATTGGGAAGGAACTAATATTATATTTTTGTTCTTTAATAAGATTTTCTGTGTAGGAATGTTAAGTAAGTGTTCTATTTCAAAACTGTCTTTTAGTGATCTAAATGATCCCTCCAGCACTACATTTCAGCTTTCTTTGCATTCCTTTGTAATATAAATTGTGTTTTAACCAACTGACCACTGACATGCAATACATTAGCAAAACAATATCCTATGTGGGAAAATCAAATAACATTTATATTGCATGAAGTACCTTCCCTGTAGTCTACTGAAGCTGTTCCATGAAGAAAAAAGACTTCCTGTAAAAGGGAATCAGTTTAGTTCGCTATGACAGGATGATTTTCTTATAGCAATAAGAAATATTTTGAGGAGTTCAGTAATATACACATGGAGAGCTCAAGCAATTGCCTAGATATTTTTTGCCTAGTGTTTTGCCGGGCCTAGGTTACAATACCAAAAAAGTTTAACATTTTCCAAATAACTCCTGATTATTTCAGAGATATAAAACTCAGCCATCTTGTTCCAATTGTTTGTTACTAGCACAGTAACATAGAAATCTAACACAACATTATAAAATACAGCAATAAAATAAACGTCCTTCTTCAGATTATATAGGGAGCAAAAATAAGGCTCATGGCAACATAGGACCCCTACAGGACAGACTAGGACAACTGGTGACAGATAGGAGTGACAAAACTGAGCTCTTCAATGAGTTTTTCACATCTGTATTCCTGAACACGGATAAAGGCATATCTGCCAATTGGATTATAGATGGGCACAAGAGGGACACCAGACTGCCAACAGTTAGCATCGACCTAGGGAAGGGACACTTGGAGGGGCTGGACATGTTTAAGTCAGCAGGCCCAGCATAATTCCCATCCAAGCATGCTTAGGGAATTAGCCAGTGTTATAGCAGAACCACTGGCAAGACTGTTTGAGCACTCGTGGTGCTCCAGTCAGGTCCCAGATGACTGGAAAAGGGCCAATGTGGTCCCTATTTTCAAGAAGGGGAGAAAGGAGGATTGTGGTAACTATAGGCTAGTTAGTTTCATCTCTATCCTTGGGAAAACCTTTGAAAAAATGATCAAGGGACACATTAATCATAGAAGTAGGGTCAGAAGGGACCTTGTAGATCTTCAGGTCCAAACCCCTGACTGGGCAGGAAGAAAACTGGGCTCAAATGACCCCAGCCAGGTAGGCATCAAGCCGCTTCTTAAAGACCCTCAAGGTAGGAGCCAGCACCACTTCCCTTGGAAGCTGGTTCCAGATCCTAGCCTCCCTAACTGTGAAGTAGTTCTTACAGATGTCTAATCTAAACCTACTCTCCAACAACTTGTGGCCGTTATTCCTTGTTATCCCGGGGGGCGCTAGGGGAAACAAGGTCTCCCCCAAACCCTTCTGGTCCCCCCTAGTGAGTTTATAGACGGTCACCAGGTCGTGCAATGACGTCAGCCAGTGCCTTCAGTACCCTCAGATGGAGCTCATCTGGGCCTGCCGACTTAAGGCATCCAGCTCTTCCAAGTGAGTCTGCACCATCTCAGGGTCTACGCATGGTAGTCTGGCGCCTTGCTGCTGCCTCTCTACAACCCCAGTGAGAGACTTGTCTTGTCCCTTTCTTAGGAACACTGAGGCAAAGAACTGGTTGAGGAGTTCAGCCTTGTCCCCCCGTCCATCACCAATTGCTTCTGCCCATTTAGATCCCTTTCTGCCTCCGTGCTCTCAAGAAGGGAGTTTCCCATCTTATAAGTGTGCTGCTGGTTACTACTGCCCAAGTGCAGCACCCTGCACTTGTCAGGATTGAAATGCATCCTGTTTTTTTTAGCCCACCCCTGCAACCTATCCAGGTCTTTGTGCAGTCTCTCCCTCCCTGCTAACATACCCACCTCTCCCCATATTTTGGTATTTGTGAAAGTCTGGCAGGAAAAATAATGCTGAAGGGCAACCAGCATGGATTCATAGCACGTAGATTTTTTCTGACTATCCTTGTTTCTTTTTATGACCAAGTCACAAAATGCTAATATACAGGAGTCAAAGTACATATCATCTACTTGGATTTTAAAAAGGCCTTCAATATGGTGTCTCATCCCATTCTTATAAATAAACTAAGCAGCTGATAAATAAACTAAGCAGCTGCAATATAGATGATTACACAGTCAGGTGGGTGGCAAATTGGCTTATGGAACACACCCAGAGAGTGGTGGTGGATGGGTCGGTATCAAAGATGTGGGCAGTGGTGTCCCCCAAGGTTTGGTCCTTGGACCTGTGTTGTTCAATATTTTCATCAGTGACTTGGATGAGGGCGTGGAGAGCACTCTGTCCAAATTTGTGCATGACACCAAATTATGGGGCAAAGTAAACACATGGATGGGCAGGGAACAGATTCAGGCAGATTTGAACAAGTTGGAAAAATAGGCAGAACAGAATAGGATGCAGTTTAACAAGGATAAGTACAAAGTGCTGCATCTAGGGAGAAAGAATCACCAACACATACAGATTGGGGGCTGACCTGTTCAGTAGCACAGCAGCAGAAAGGGATCTTGGAGTCCTAGTAGACTCCATGATGAACATGAGTCATCAGTGTGATGAAGTGTTAACCACACTCTATCACACACTCTATCATGCGTTAGCAGGTGCATCATGAACAGGTCTAAGGAGGTAATACTTCACCCCCCTATGCATCTGAGGTAAGGCTGCAGCTGGAGTACTGCATCCAGTTTGGGGCACTGCACTTCAAGAAGGAATAGGATAACCTTGAGAGGGTTACTCATATGGTTGGGGGCCTGCAGGTAAGGCTCTACGAGGAGAGATTGAAGGACCTGGATCTCTTCAGCCTCCACAAAAGCAGGCTGAGAGGTGATCTTGTGGCTGCCTACAAATCCCCATCGGGGTGGGGCATCAAGGAATAGGAGATACTCTGTTTACCAGGACATTCCTTGGGGTGACTAGAAACAGTGGCCACAAACTGGCAAAGAGCAGATTTAGATTGGACATCAGGAAGAACTTCATGGTAAGGGTTACCAGAATCTGGAGTGAGCTTCCAAGGGAGGTGGTTCTCTCTCCTACCCTGCAGGTCTTTAAGAGGAGACTGGACAAGCACATGGCTAGGGTCATCTG